ACAACCCTTGACGGGGGTAACGAGGTATTCCTCCTTCCAAACGAAGCCAGGTTGAATGTGGTAACCAAGAAATATTCCCTCAACACCAGTCGGCGCAAACTTGGAGCTCGCAGGAATGTTCTGTTTGGGGTTGTTCCAGTACAACACACGTGCACCAAAAGGAATCATTATCCCTGAAAACGGTTCCCCATACCTGGCCTCCCAGGGAACAATCCCGTTGTCAAGCCTCTTAGTTGCATTAAGTGCCATCGCATGGTGTTGGGCGGCCAACGGCCAAAGCTTGTCGGGGAGACCCGCCTGAACAAGGTTGGAGCGGGTACCCTCCAAGATCGTCCGAATTTCTCTTTCGATTACCGACTTGTTGGTGTCCACATATTCGCGGGATGTAACATGTCGGACACCTAGGCTTTTGATAGCGGCATGAAGTTCAGGTGCGTTGTCTGAGTAGAAAACACCGACTGCATCTTCTTGACCTAGGAAGTGAAGAAGGTCTTCAAAACACTGATCGCTTGACTTAGTCGGAGAGGGGTAGACGTAACGAAATTTGGTGAACACGTCCTTAACAACAAGTGCGACCCTTTCGTCCTGGAACCCATGATCACGAAGGTCACGAGTGATGATATGGTCAACCGTGATGTGATCCCCAAAGGCCTTTGACACAATGGTACTTGAGCCCCCCTTTTTGCGGGCTTGGGGAGCCAACATCTTTGCACGCTGACATACCTCGCAGAACGGATTCTTGGGCCTGTGCGAGAACAAGTGCTCAACAGATTTGGCTTCAGCTTTCAGATCGGCCTCTGCAAGACTGCGGGCGTTTCCTTCGTTGTCACTGTCAGGTTCAACATCGGGGTCTTCGAAGATAGTGAGGCTCAGGATTGGATTACCCTCCAGTCGGGCAACTTTGTTGTCAAGCTCCCTGACGTTCACTTTATCCTCAACCTTGACCCAAGAACCTTCCCTGAACAACCAAGTAGATCTGACTTCGCATCTTGGAAACCTTGGTGTAGCAGTACGAAACGTCTTTGGTTTGTGTCCGACAATCAAGTACTTAGCATTTGGGTGCGAAACCCAACCTGGTCTTTTGAGCTTCTCTTTGGGGATATCTATCGGCGGCACCTCATTGATGGCTGCGGAGATCTCAGGATCGGGGTGCTCGACCACTGGATCTCGTTCCTCTGCTGCTCCTGCGAAAGCCTCGGCCGGCCCTATTGGGCGGCAGTTTTCTGAAAACCCTCGGACAAAACTGGTCGTCCGAGAGAACCTGAGGCTTCCTCCTTAGCGCTTGGAGCGGCCATTGCTCCTCCCCCTAGCACTGGGACCATACCTCTCATCCTACACCTTAGTCTTTGACCATTGGGCGCAACAAAGTAAGGCGGCCTTTTGGGGTACCAGTGGAACTCATAACCGTCCTCCATGCACCTTCTGCCTACGGAGCAAACAGGAGGGGTGCTGTTGAGAACATAGAACTCTAGCTCTTTGCCAAACTCCGGGAAGTCGATCCTAACCGACTTGTCACCTTTGACGTTACCATTAGCAGTGATGAGATTCACTTGTCGTATTGCGTTGCCTACTGGCTCTTCGCCGAAGTACATAGCACGATCGGCTTCGCTGATAAGGTCCTCCTCGCTTCCTGTGTCAGCAAGGAATTCTAAGGGCGTGGCGATCCCTGGACAAGCGATCTCTGAGCTCTCAACAACGTGCTTGCACATCCCACACATGAGAGAATCAGGCTCATCACACTCTAAGTGGCAATCGGTTTTCTCTCCCCCCTCATGCCGGGCAAGAAGCATCTTGAGTTCCCTTGCGTTCCTAATTGCAACCTGAAGGTCATTAGCGTCAGGCTTAGGGCAGTTTTCCGCATCAGCATAGCAAGTATTGTACCTGCGAACTTTGTAGGAATGTTTGTACCCCTTTCCCTCAAAGGGGATTTCCCTGACTTTGGGTTTGTCGGAAAACCTGACCTTCTTGTTTTGTTCTTTGATCTTGAAAACAGTCTTGCCGGTCCACGGCGTCCTATCGCCGGTTCCCCCTCTTCCCTCTTTCCAGTCCCAGTTCTCCTTTGCAGTGTACGGAGAAATGGGAAGCGTCTTGATCACTTTGGCCTTACCCTTCAACCTTTCAAGAGCAACAGGACATGACACTTCGGGCTTGTACATAGTACTTCTGTACTTCAAATGGTGCCTAACAGCTTCACCCCTTTTGAAGTCTACTTCCCAGTAGTCTTCGTCCCCATCTTGTGGTTCACTCTCCTCAGGACCAGCTGAGGCTGCAGCCGCAAGCGAGATGCAGCATGCGGCCTTCCTGTCCTTTTCCTTAGAGCGTCCACGGCTTGGTTTCCTGCGCGTTGGCGCGGGTGACGGGGACCTTGGTTTGTCTGGGCCCTTAGGGGCCGGGGCTGCGTTTTCACCACCTGAGGGAGTAGGGCTCGGTTCCCTATGCAAGAAACGACACTTATCTCCCCTAGTGCACTTTCCCTTCTTCCAAAACGTGCAGACCTGTTTCTTCTTCGGGGCAGTGCGAACAGGGGATTGCGAACGGGGTTTGTGCGAAAACTTGCACTTGTCACCCCTGGTGCACTTACCCTTTTGAAAGTCGTAGCAAACTGGCTTTGGGCTTTGTGATCGGCTAGGTGATCTAGATCTGGATGGGGTCCTAGAGCGAGACCTTGACTTTGAATTAGACTGGCTACCGGCAGAGCGGTCCCTTCCGCGGCCACTCCTCGACGGAGGGCGTGTCGGCCTTCCGCCTTCAACAACAGGAGCACCAAACTTGTCCCCATGAGACTTGGCGATTCTATCCCTGTTCTTGCGCATCCTTTCACGGGTCAACAAATCCCGGATTGACTTCAACAAGAACGCATAGGAGTGTGAGGCAGAACCCTCTTTCGCCCTGTCGTAGATTTCCAAATCATACTTCATTCTTGAGGACTTTCGGATTTGCCGAAGAAGGATGTCACGCAGAACCATTTCTTCTGGGACATGACTCATGCCAGCAATGACTGATTCCCAATTGTGCAGAAATGTGGTTAGATCGTCACTATGCAGCGTAACCTTCAAAAGGTCTTCTACCGAATAGAGCGATCCTACCTCTTCATTTGTTTTGAAGTACTGATCAAACATGAGCAAGACCTGGCGTCCTCGTACGGCACGTCCTTGAACCGCCTCGGTTTCCTTGAAAGTGAGTACCTGCCGAGATAACTCACCTTTGGCGACCTTAGTGAGAGCGGCTAGGATTTTGGTATCCAGCGTGAGAAACTTACCGGGTTCACGAAGCTTTTCATGATCAGCATTCTTAGAATACACCTCTAGCATCCAAGAGAAGGCTTCATCTGGTCTATCTGAAGCTGCCCTAACTGCCTCCCGTGTTGCGGTTTTCCATGCACGGTAGGTTTCGGGGTTAGGGAAATCCGGCAGGCGGATGGTTTCAGCTTCTTTAACCTTTGGTTTGTCATCTTCACCGCTTTTGTCTCCTTTAAGAAGCTTGGCGGCTTCAAGCAGCGCTTGCTGCGTCCGTGCGATTAAATCGGCTCCAGTAGCTGCCGGACCTCCCGGCGTGCCTGTTGGGGCCGCAAGACCAGGGGCTCCGGCGTTCAAACCACCACTAGAGGATCCTAGATTTGGGACGTTAGCTGATGCTGTTGGGGTCCCTGGGGCAGAAACCGGACCCTGTGGTCCCGTTGGAGTGGCAGTAGTTGCCACACCGCCAAAACTGAAGTTTGGAAACAATGCCCTGATGTTCATCGGAATCACACTAGGATCTGAAAACTGAGGGGCACACGTAGCACTAAGCCCGGCGCTTGGCGCTGGAGCAACTGGGGCAGTGGCGCTGGGAAACTGAGCTTGCTGCGAGGGATTGATACCTAAATTCCTGTCCTGTTCGAGCTGGAGCGCACGCTCCATTGATGACAATTCATCTTGGAGGGTCATGTTTTGAATCCTCATTTGCTCTTCAGTTTCCAGGGCTATACTGCGGTACCTTTTCATTGCCTCATCATGCTCTCTCCCAAACCATTCCCCAATCTCGTTAATGCTTTCCCTCTTGTTTTGTTCAGCCTCTTCAACCAGAGTTGTCCTGAGACGTGTGATTTGCGAACCAACATCGGAAAAATGTTCTGACTGAAAATTGATTATCTGGTTTTGTTGCTGGAGTTCTGAAAAGAGACCTTGGGTCCTCGCGACAAAGCTATACCTTTGGCTAGCAATTTCAGACTCAAGTCTAGCAACGACTTCCTCGTGCTGCCTGTTAGCCCTTTCTTCAACATCTGCGATTTGTTGATCATGGGCTTCTTCAGCAGCTAGGCGGAACCTCTGGTGCCTGGACTCTGCTTCGTTCTCTAACTCAGTGAGGAGAAGTCTTGTTTGTTCAGGTGTTTCACCTATCGTGATGTTCTGCTGAAACTGTTGTCGGTACATGTGGATCTGCGGAGCTCCTAGTCCTACGAAAGGAGAAGGTGCGTTTGGCGCAAACACATTAGCTGCCGCTGCATTCTCTTCCAGCACTAGGCCACGGCCATCCGTAGACGGTGGCATAGCCAAAGTGCCTGAGAGGTCCATCTCCGCGGATTCTGCGTCTGTAAATCCGTCTGTACCGAGATCAGTTGCTACCTCGGTGGGGACCAGCTCGGGGCTGTCACCCATGCACTGAGTCGAAACTCCAGGTCAGTGGTGCCGCAAGCTCCTGGGAGCCTACGGCTGATAACCTATAGTTTGGGAAATCCACCAGTTGTTATCCGTTAAGCCATGAGCAGGGGCGCGCCTAACCTTTTTTACTCAGAGGGCTTGAGCGTCACAGGTAAGTGCAACATACATGGAAGCAAAAGTGGAGGGAATGCACAGATATAAAATACAAAACCAGCCGTGAAATCCAAGCACCCGAGGAGCATAGAGTAGGCTTTCTCATCGGCTTAAGGACTTTAGCTAACTATAGTTGGCATATGTTTTCATTAGCTCTCGTGGTTAACTCGTCCAAGGCGGCAAGCTGCTTGCACAGGGCCAAGCAGCTGAGGACGTGGAACATGGGGACAAACCTTTCCAGAACTGATGTCAAAGATTGTCCGAACCCCTGTTCATCCGTGCCTTACCTAGCCTGACTTCAGTCAGCATCGCCTGTATTCTCAATGCGTTCTTCACATCAGCTGATACCGAGCGGCGGGAGCACGACATGTCGTCCAGAGATGCCCAGCTGGTCCACACCGTTGGACATGAGCCTAGAATCACGAAGTATGACATAATTCTATACTCAGCCTCGCCCTTGACTTTGCTTGATCTGCTGATGGTGGGGTCGCTCACTGGTTTGCATGTCAGAGCGTAGTCGGTTTCGCAGTCGTGCAGCAGACTGCCTGCATGGACTTCAGAGGGGATGTCCAAACGGCATCTTTGAGTTCGGTCTAGCAAGCCAGCGTCTGCAGTTTAGCTTTGATCGAAGGGGGCGATCTTTCGCGCTCAGTGCGGCAAATTCAGGCTTTCGCATGTCAGTAGCAAAGCCTGTAAATTAAGAAGCGAGTGTGGCCGGGCAGCGTATGCAAGTACGTCGAACGTTGCGAGTATCCAACACCTTGCGATCAATCAGTTGCATGCAGCTACGTTCCCGTCCCAGCACACGAGAGTGACCCTGAAAATCGCTCTACAGCTCCAATCATCTTGGTCTAGGAACTTCTCGGTTTTCCCTGTGGGGCCAACAGCGCCAACAGCTTGGCCGAAGCAGAAAAGAACACTTGGCTGACTCCTCGTCGCTGCTTTCCAATGAACCCAGCAACTAACAACTTCATCGTAGTCGATCGTCAGGTGCCGCAGAGAGAAAGCCACGCAAGTTCCAGAACCTCGAACCCTTGAAGGCTGCCTTTTGGACGCCCAGTAGTGCCCGAGGTGTAGCCTCAAGAAATGTCCACATGCCGCAGTCACTGCCGCACTGGCAGCTTATGTTGACACATGCTGTCTGGCTTAAGAGAAATGCCATTTTACAGGGGACTTGCCGGGACTTAGTACTGCAATTCACAACAAACCTTCGACCTACAGCAGCTTGCACACATGTTTTCTTCTCTGCATCGGCTCCCGAAGCAACACATAGCAAAACCGATGTAATCGTGGCATCAGAAGGTCTGGAATGCGGCCGAATTGCACAAGCCCATAGTCGAAGTTTCAGGCACCAAAGGCCACACAAAGTCCTCTCTGGAAAATAAGTGTTTTGTCACAAAGAACCTTGTTGGACCAAGGGTCGGAGCAAATCACATCAGCTTTTGAATTCATTTAAGACGTGCGCAGGGGGCCGCTCCACCCACTGCTAGGGGGCAGCCAACGAAGAGCCTAAGCGTGCCTGGGCTTGGAGCATGCAGCTGGCAGCTCATGAAACTGGGAGCGTGCTTGGGCTCGGCGCCCACGATTGACGATAATTTTGCCTTCCCCTACATGTGTAGGGAGATCCCGGAGAGTGCGTCTGCGTGTGCGTGTGCGTGTGAGTGAGAGTGCTGACGTGCGCGTGCTGAGAGCGCGGCGTGTTGCGAGTGCGCGAGTGCGCGAGTGAGTGAGTGAGAGAGTGGAAAAGTGAGAGAGGAGTGTGTGTTGGAGTGGTGCGCGGAGTGATGAGGGCTTGATGTGAGGACGTGGCGGGCAGTGCGCGGGCGTGCGGGCCAGTGCGCGGGCGTGTCGGGAGTGAGCGGGCGTTTGGCGCGCGGGGGCCGCGGGGCGTAGCGTGCGAGGGGTGCTGGCGTGCGGTGCGCGGAGGTGCGCGGGCGTGTGAGGCGCGGGAGTGCGCGGGCGGTGCGCGGGCGTGCGGGGCGTGCGCGGGGTGGCGGCGGCGCGGGCGGGGCCGCGGGCGTGCGGGGCGTGCGCGGGCGTGAGCGGGCGTGTGTGCGGGATCGTGAGAGGGCATAGCGCGGGCGTGCGGCGCGGGCGTGCGGCATGTGCGGGGGTGCGCGGGCGTGCGCGGGCGGGCGTGCGTGGTGGGCATGGGTGGGATGTGAGGGGACGTGAGTGGGCGTGCGTGGGCGTGCGTTGGGCCGTGCGTGGGCGGGTGCGTGGGCGTGCGTGGGCTGTGCGTGGGCGGGCGTGGGCGTGCGTGGGCGTGGGCGGGGCGTGGGCCTGGGGTGGGGGGGGGCGTGGGCGTGGGCGGGGTGTGTGTGTTGTGGTGTGTGTGTGTGTGTGTGTGCTGTGTGTGTGTGTTGTGTGTGTGTGTGTGTGTGTGTGTGTGTGTGTGTGTGTGTGTGTGTGTGTGTGTGTGTGTGTGTGTGTGTGGTGGTGTGCGTGTGTGGTGCGTGCGGGGTTGTGTGTGTGTGACACTGAGTGAGTGAGTGATGGTGATTGAGTGAGTGATGAGTGCGTGATGCGTGAAGTGCGAGTGCGTGGGTGCGCGGCTGCGTGCGCGCGTGCGTGCGTTGAGGCGTGCTTGCGTGCGTGCGTGCTGTGCGTGCGTGCGGTGGGTGGGTGGGTGGGTGGGTGGGTGGGTGGGGGGGGTGGGGTGTGTGTGTGTGTGTGTGTGTGTGTCTCTGTCTGTGTGTGAGTGCGTATGTGTGTGTGTGTGTGTGATAGAGTGTGTGTGTGTGTGTGTGTGTTTGTGTTTGTGTTTGTGTTTGTGTTTGTTTTTAATGCGCCTCAAGCATGTTGATGTTCGAACGCCGCTTAAGAATCGCGGTGCTCTGCTCGGATCTTTGGAGAAGCGGGGTTGAACATTGGGAAGTTGCAGACAAGCTCGATGATTTCACATGATTTTGGCTTTGCCAGGGCGAAGCTCCTGATCGCCTGTTGCGAGGAAGGTCTCGTAGTCGACCGCCTTGATTGCCTCCTCATGTTGCGTGCAAACACTTCAACAGTTTAGCTACTCCGAACCCACATTGATCCGACCAGCAACTAGCTTCAAGTACATTTGCAAAAAAGATCCCCGAGACCATTTTGAGTGTGCAGTCAGGTCTCCAGCGCCGGAGGCAAAGACCACTTGCCAGGCTCACCTCTGCATCGCAGAGGTGTGATACTCAAGATGTGGGGATTGGAACTTTGCCCGTACTCCTGTCCATGTCTTGAACATCAGAGCATGTGCGGCTGTGCTGCCGTCCTCTCCCACACAAACGAGGAGCTCGACCGAGCTTAGCGCGTTGATATTGACCTCCCCACCGAAGTGTGCTTGCAGCTCAGAAACGCGGAACGCCGGGGATCTTCACTTCCTTGCCTGGGCCAAGGTATTCAAGAGGATGGCATCAGCGAAGATGATCCGGTCCTCTTCAATCGGTAAGTGCCAAGCAGAGGGTGCGATCACTACCCGAACTCAAGACGAGCCTTGGCATGAGTAATGATGTACTCCTGATCTGCAGGACTCAATCCTCGGTGATCTCGGCTTGGCAGGCTTGTGTCACACTTGCAACATGGCCCAGACTTTGTGTCGATGCAGGCTCTGAACCTCAAAGCTTCCATCTCATGGTGATTCAACAAACAGTGCCATGACCCTATGAGGAATGGATAAAGGGATATTTATGAACATTTTGCGCTTCGTGCGCTTGGTCCAAGAGGCTCAGGTTCAAAGTGTGCAGCACTGCGCCAATGCAGGAAATTGCGTGATAGCATTCAAAGTGCCAGCCTCCGATGAGCTACTCGCTGCCATGCTCAGACAGCGATCTTGTGTGGGATGCACTTGTAATGACACGGCATCTGCAAAAGCTGAGAAACGCTGACTGAGAAGACCATGACGCGGGCTTACATAGACATTGGCGGGCTGATCCCACGAACTCCTGCCTGTGTTCCACATGAGCGTTGCCACACGATCCTGCCAACGCAATGCTCTGCAAGTCTTTTCACCACTCACGATTCCAGAAACATTCAGGTCCAGGGTCCTCGATTTTCACTCCCCATTTGGTCAAGGCTGAGCCCAGCTGCTTGGCCTTGTCGAAGAGAAAAGTTGGCAGCAGGGACCCAGCAATGTTACATGTAAGTTGGGATGTTCCCCCTTATACCAACAGTCCTTAGTAGGGATGATCGTATCCGGACCTCCTCGTATAATCCCTACTAAGGACTGTTAAGGGGGAACATCCCAACATGTCAGCATCACTGTGCGGGGGGTTTCTGTATGTCTCTGTGCAGAAGGGTAATGCAGCCCCAGTGCCCGTTGACCGTGCTCCGCATAGGTCTGCTTCACGTAGCCGGATCGCGTCCTGCATGGCGGGGCTGCAACTTTCCATCTGGACAGGTGCCATTCAGTCATTACACCGGGGGGGGGGGATGAGGGCTTAGGGATCTAAACCCAAAACCCTAGATCATCTCTTCCTTCTTTCCTGCGCTCGTGCCCCCTCCCCCGGAGAGGAACCGAAGGCGAGCTGTACCGGGTCAGGTCAGTCGGTGAAATCTTAAACAGAAACTGCCCACTTGCGGCAGACTTACCCGGAACTATCGTGAAAGTTCATGCGACTCGGGCAATATTGCCACTTCTCCTTGAGACGAGATCTCTCAATCTGGGTGGGCCTCCTTCAAGCTCAAATGTGTGTGGTCTTAGGTATTGGGACATATATCATATATTGGAAATCGCGTGCCTATAACAAAAAATCTTGCCACGGCGCACGAAGGCATATCTTCCTGTCCCGCGAGGGCCTTTCTTCTTGTTACTACAGATTTTTCCGGGGCCTTTAGATCTATGCTCAGTTGGCCTTAAGAGCTTTGAGCTGTTGCTGTGGCCGGGGTCATCATGCTCAGCACTGAGTCCCCTACACAGTAATTACCTGCCCAATGCGTCACCCCGTGGTCATGATAGCTGGCCTGGTTATGATGAGGTTGTCTGGCTGCAGTGCCGTACCCCGATCGCAGAGGCGGCTCAGGAGCAAGGGCTCCAAGTCCTTGCTCTACTTCGAACGGCTGCGAGCATGTCCTACTACTTTCGCCGGTCTGCTCTGTGTGCGAAGCACACGCGTTCAAACGTACAAACTTCTACTCGACCTCTCTCTTTTGCCGTCTTTGTTGAAAACAGCCATCGAACGAACTCGAAATGGCAGGTGCACCTTTGTGGAATATAAGAACGTGCCTCCAGTACAATCAGCTTCCTTAACTCTAGCCGAGCAGCTCTGCCATTCACCTTGATTTGCGTTGCCATTGCCAAGGGCTTCCGACGAAAATTGAGAAAGTCTTGGGGGGACACTGATGCATCCACGACCTGCTACCCAGGAGAACGTGCGCGTCCTGAAACTGTTGCATTGCTGGTGAAGCTGCATAACCGACACAATGCACAGTGATGCAGTGAGGCCGTTAGAGAACTGTGTGGCTGTCGATGGTTACCTCCGCATGTCGCTTGAAGCGAAAAGCTCCAGTGACAATGGATATCGGAAAGCAAGTTTTCGGGGGCGCCCCACCGGAATGCCTCCTGCCCCCCCCCCCCTCCCTGAAACCCTGGCGACTTTTCTCCGAGTCTGGGGGTGAGGTTCCGGACCCTAGCACAATCCGACGACTCAATGAAGGGGCCTCCTGTGCCCTCCCAGATCCGACTTCTTGTTCTTTTTTTGTCTTCTTCTTCTTCTTCGCAGGTGCTTCACTCAATCATCCTTTCTGCGGGAAAACGGTCCTCTCTTTCTTCTTTCAATGGGGCGCATAGGGACAGGCCCACTGGGCAAGCCCCAGCAAGGTCTTTCTAGTCTAGAGGTGTGAATTCAACGAGTAGTTATATGCTTGTCTCAAAGATTAAGCCATGCATGTCTCAGTATAAGCTTCTACACGGCGAAACTGCGAATGGCTCATTAAAGCAGTTATTATTTATTTGATGGTCACTGCTACATGGATAACTGTGGGAATTCTAGAGCTAATACACGCGAAGTGCGAAAGAATTTCAGGGAAGAAGCAACAACACCTAAAACAAACATCACCACCGCCGGCCTTATCCACTTCTGCCCGAACCTTGACCTGATTTGCCAATTCACGTGGTTCTCAACAAAGCGGCGTGCGGTCTATTTTGTTGGCCCCTTTGGGGCTCGGGCCTTTTTCTACGATTCTACGTAGTAAGAGTGAAGTCATTGCAGCATTGCAGTTTTCGTGTGCCAAAGGCCAAAAGAGGCCCTCAACTGCCAAAGGAAGTATGGCTCGGGCTGTCCAGCGCAGAAGAATAAGTCGTAGGACAACTGAAGCAACAAGCCTCCTTCCAAGCAAGACCCCCCCTCTTCTCTGCCAGGAAACCAGGAAGCTGGCTAGCTCCTGCAAAAAGGGGAAAGTCAAATTGCATTTGCCGACGCATGCCGAGCAAACCTACATACTGGACTAGCACTGCACAGCTAATGTCGCTCCCTGCCCCCCCACCCTAAGATGGCGTTGTTACTGGCAATCCTGGTTGCCGTGTTCGGCGGCGAAGTGGATCGTCGTTGTCCCGTCGGGCAGGCACCTCTCTCAGCTGAATCAGTGGGGGAGCAGTAGGGCCAGCAGCTCATCTAGCTAGACCTCCTTTTAAATGGAGTCTGATCGCACCATCGCTCCACGACAGCACCATATCAGACGAACCAAGTCCATAATGCCCTATCTAGCTAGAGTTCACCCCTCATGTCGCAGAGCTCCAAATAACAACATAGAAAGCAAAAACTTGGCAAAGAAGCACGGCTGGATGAGTGCCTAACTCCAACCTCCAGCTCAACACCCGGATCTTGTCGACCTTGCCTGCATGTGTCTGCTCCTGCTTGTTGCAGCACCTCTCAAACACAGTGCCGAGCTTCATATGATGGTTGCATGAAACCACATGCCACCTATACTGCCTGCCCGAAGCTCTAACGAGTGTTTGGGTGATGAGAATGGCGTGTCGGCAGCTGGGAAACTGTGGATTTGGGGGGATTGAAGATCGGACTCTGCGCACACGCAGGCCAATCCGCGATAGACATTATTTCATCGGCCGAGCATTTGCTTAGGTAATATTCTGCGAGTTGGACTGCCATGGCTTATCTACCAGTACAGATCGATGGAAGGGCAAGCGGTTCGCACAGCTGTGGCGGAGCTGCACCAGCTGCCAGGTTCCCGAACAAACCCAGCATCATGCCTACCATGTTTTTTGATCCATCGGCATTGCAGACTGGTGCCTCAAATCAGATACGACGACGCCTAGCCCTACATGTTGGAGTCCGCTTTGTGGGTGCTCTCCACCATCAACGGCACGAATTAGTCCCAGAGGCTCTGTCAAGCTTCGGGAACCGTGCATCTCAAGCAGTAGCTCCCAAATTTCCTTAGTGTGCCTACCGAAGCCTGTGAGCCAACTGGTCCTCTTGCAGCCAGCCAAGAGCTCAGCATTTCCGTCTGCGCCAAATCTCCTGCTTCTGCGAGAACTCCCGCATGGATGGGCTCTGCGCAACCGGCTGGACCGCCACCTCGGCGTGGCAACAAGATGCAGAAAGAACCCTGCCAAACTCTTCTCGAAGCAGGTTGTGAGCCTGGCGTGTGCGAATAAAGGATTAGAGAGATGTCGAACATCATCGAAATGTCAACGAAAATTAAGGAATGTAGTGCTAGAACTGGAAGAGGGTTGGTGGGCAGAGCATGGACAGTTGAGCAGCCCAACTTCGAGATCTCAGGTCATCGTCCACCCGCAGCTCCAGGACCTCAAACATACATTCTTCATTTTTTCTGAATCTTGAGGTGCCCCTTTTTTTTGGTGGTTCTTAAAGCGATGTTTCAAATATTTCTGGGAATGTTGAAGGATTCTTTATTTTGGGGGCGGGGGGGGGGGGGGGGGTCGGGCGATGCTAGGATGCGAGAGCTACGAAGACTGGGGACTACCGCTTGCTGTTGCTTTAAGGGTTTAGTCGCTCACTCTCGCACAAGGCAGGCAAGGTTTAAGGGTTGCGAGTATTTCGGAGCCATCTGGGCAGTCTAGCAGGAAACTGAAAGCCTGGAAGCATAGAACAAGAAGAACTTTCGCGAAAAAAACTAACTTTCGCAATCCCAACGCAGATCTTTCGCGGAGGCATATCTTAATGCCGTGTGGGTCACTGCCTACTAAATGCCACAAAGACCTTTAGATCAACGCTCACTTGGGGATCTATATTGGCGTCCCCTATTTTCGTAAACCCCCATGTGCACGAAACAAACCCGAGAAACTCCCCGCCCACAGCTGGCCGTGCGACCTCCGGGTCGGCATAAAGCCGGGTCTTCTCGGCACAAGCGCAGCAGACTGCTTGGGGCAGCCTTGGCTGAAGTGTTTCCACAGTTGCGCCCGGGAGGTCTCCTGCCCTTGAGATATCCCAGACGTTACCTCCTCAAGCGCTTCCTGTGCTTTATACTAATCTATCCTTCGGCGCTGGGTCCATGCAAATGTAGCTTTGCGTGGCTTTGACCGTGTGCTCGGTAAGTCTCGGCTTTGCGGGACCGAATCCAAATCTGGGCGCAATTAAAGCTTCATTCCTGTTAATTACGCCAAACTCAGGGGCAGGAGCTTGCGCGGGACCTGTCACTGGATACTGGTAGACCAGCGGGCCGGACTATGCCACTATGCGAATGTGCTATGAAGTTGATCTGCGGCACCAGCTCGTCAGCAACGTGCTGGTAGGTCGCGCGCTGTCTGCTGTCAGTGCCACCCGAGGCAAGCACTCCTCAGCCCAGCGAGACTTATGGGACCCGATGAGTTCGTTTTTGGTCTCACCCAAGGTGCAAGGGTCGACGAACTTGGGCAAACAAAAGCAAGGGATTAACTGACACCTTATACACCTACCAACCCTAAGCTGTGAGCCAGGCGTGGGGCTTTTCTCCGTGCCGCCCGAAAAGTTCGTCATCTTGCCATTAAACCGCCCCACGTCAGGGTTCGTTACGGTCTGTTAAGTAATGGGATGCGATTCTAATTCGTAACTTTCTTTATGGAGTGCTCCTATCTATACCCTTCTTCTGTGCCCTAGTGTAGAAAACCACCCTACGTACGCTTCTCCGTATGTGATTTTGGGGTTCATATAGCTTGCGGTACTCGCCTCTGAGCGGCATGCTCAGAGCCCTTCAAAAACCAGCACAGACCCAAGGACTCCGTGAAATCGCATCCTGGAGCTCCTGCACCAAAAGACCCTACAGTGACCAAGGCTCGGACTTGGACGGCCTTAAGACAACTATTTAACAATGTCTGCAAGTCAGTCAACCGTTCAGGGCCCTTGACTTGAATGAGAGAATGCTGCTCAAGCTCGGGCGGGTTGTCGCGCACAAAACGGCAGAGGTTGGAAGCGACCTTACTGCCGCCTGTGCAAGAACGCGCGGCTCCAAACCGCAATCAAGTCTCAAGCAGGCTCACGACTCAAGCAATCAGTCTTGGACTTATTTCCAGTATCTTCCAGTCTTCAGCAAAGGCCTGTTGTGCTCAGCTCCAGCGCGTTTGCGAAGTCGCTCGGCAAAGTGCAAATCGAAGCCAGATCTATGAGAGCCAGGCCCATGTCTTGGGCCATCTTGCCTGCGATTGAACTGGCACAAAGCCTGTATTGTGTGTGGCTTTTGACTTGAAGTGATTGTCGACTGATGGCTGCGCGGCTGTGGACATTGGCTTCAGAAATGAGCCTACACCAAGCACGGAGCAACGGTTTTGGAGACCTTTTCCTGCACCATCATTAAGGAGTATCCGGTCTTCATGCATGCAGTGCAGGCGCAGCCTGGAATGCCCCAGCCCTCAACGCATCTTACAACTCGCAGCCAGGCTGCGGATGCGCCGGTTGTGGACCGAAAGGCTCGTGGACACGAGCATTCGGAGGAAAACCTGAGCGAAGCCGAGGCTTGCATGGATAGCCTAACTCGACATCGGCCAATAGCGAACAACGCACATTTGGGCCCCTTAACATTGAAGTGCCAACATTCCATGCAATAGAAACGCAGTGACTGAAGAATCAATTCAGAATTCTGGCCGCAACTCAAGCCTAAAGGGACCAGTGCAAAGTTGAACGATAGTTCAGATTCTCTACATTCCAAATGCCTCTCTGAGCGTCTTGATCGAACTGGGGCGTGTAGATCGTGCAGCACGCTAGGTGGCAGCCGATTGACGCCACCGATTCCAATGTCCGTTTCATCTTTTGGCCGATCTCCTTGCTGAAAGCTGACACTCTAGCCCCCCTAGCCACCTGAAAGGTAATTCTGCCACTGAGCAACCTGAAAAGGGGCCAAAGCCTGACAAAGAACCCTTTTGGCCCAAGGCTCGTCCATCCCAGCAGTGACTGCCGTGTACAGTGCTGTCGGCGCGAAGGAGGCAGCGGAGAGCTCATTGAGCAGCCGCAAGAGGTCATTCCCAGATACAGAAAGTATAACATGCGTCGCCGAGTCTGGGATATACCCCACCTGTTTCATGGCCACGTCATCCAAAGATGCGCCATCTTGTGCTAGAAAGGTACATTGCCAGCCCATTCGGCAGCATTCCGCCGTCAGCAGCCTCTGCATTGATACATCGACGTGCCGGCTATTGTCGAAAGTGCTATCTCCGAGCAGCACGACATGGACCGGGCTGCAAAGAGAGAGGCCAATGATTGGCGAAAGGGTCGGAGAGTTACCTCGAAGAGATGGAGACACCAGTGATGGAGAGACATCGCTCACCTCATGGAACATGTCCAGCAAGACTCACGTATGCCCAAGCTGTCCAGGTGTCACAATGAGGAACAGGACTACCTGAGAATCAACCTCTACAAGCATCTGCGTGACATCTGAGTGAATCTATCAAACATATCTGGTCAGCAGTCCCAGCAAAGCTACAAGGTGCCATGCAACTTCTTTGCCACGAGGTATGAATGTGGGTGTTTCCAACAGCTGATAGAATCCTGTACCCTGTGGGCAGACACACTTTGGTGTCTTGAGCCTGGACCTCAGCAGGTTTAGCCACAGATGGACCTCACACACACACACACACTATTGCCTCTTCATGCCAACACTATGGTCCCGTACCTGCTGCAGGTTCGGCTTTGCTGGAAAAGGCTGCTCCGAAGGATCCTGCCTTCGCCACCTCATTGTGACCATGCCGTGCTGCGAGCAGCAGCGGCGTCCATCCGTGGAGGGCCGCATGCTCCTTTTAGCGTTCAGATGCCCTGCATTCTTCTAAAGGCCACATGCGTAGGACGTTCACAAGAAGGGGAATTGCGATAAGAATGGGTGCACTGCATTTATTGCCATTTTGCGAGATCGATCGAGATCATGGTGAAAAGAACGCTCATCCCTGCCATTTCAGTGCTGAAACAACGCCCTCACAGAAACAGTCTGTCCACACCCCTGCCCCCCCCCCCCTCCCCCAATGGAAAGCTAAGGTTTTGCTTGGACGTATCTCGTATCTCCGATCTGCTATGCCCGGCAGTGTGAGTGCTATTGAAGCATATGGAGCCTGGCCTATGCGCACGAACTTACACGCGCTCCTTGTCTGCTCGCATCTCACACAGCAGTCGGACCACTGGCGCATGGCCTGTCAGATCACGTGCCGCGCTCCATGTCTTCCTTATCCAGAATCCAGAATCCCCACCATCCCAGCATGGGCAAAACCCCTACATAAGCCCTTGAGGCCCTTCCGTTCAGTTCTGCTAGAAGCCAGCTTCGGGATGGCGCGCCCTCCCGGCAGGAGATGAGAAGCGGAGTGTAGCCGCCCGTCCTGCGATCAGGGACTTAGACAAGGTGAGTGATGATGGAGAAAAGGGCAGTGTTGGCAGAAGTGCCCTCTGAAGGCTGCCCCTACAATGTGGGAACACAGAATGCCCCACCCCCCCCCCCCATCTCGTCCTGGCTCTCTCCTTGTCTGCTCCGATCTCACAAAGAACCTAAGGCAGATGGTTTTTTGTCAGCTTGCAGGTCGAATCCTCTGTTTTCACCCCTGGAGTGGGGAACCAAACCCATTCTGATGCAAGTTGTGTCCTGTGCTTCGCCAAGGCACTCTTGCAGCTTCCACATGCCTGGGCTGGTGTGAGGTCTTTTCAATTTAAGGGGAGAAAAAGGACGATGAGAGTCTCTTTTGTTGGTCTGGATGCTTAACGACTTTGTAAATAAAGCCCGCTGGATGCTCAGCAGCTCTAGCTTGATCTACGGGGACACTGTCGCAACACGAGTGACAACAGAGTTATGGCGAGCGGCCCTCTTTGGCAGGCGACAAAGAAAGGCGTGCGGCGATGAGGAGTAGTCTGCAAGCAGTCGAAGGGGTATTCAGTGAAGCTTCTCTAGAAATCCTCAGAGGTTTCGCCTAAATTGGCACAAGAAGCTTCAGCTGCAGTGCAGGTAGCCGCGTGCAAGACTAAAACGAAATTCAATTCATGAGCCCGGCAATCCAAGAAACCAGTGGCATAATTTGGAAGCATTGTGAGAAGCCGACAGTCTCAAGGTTCGCGCTGCCACGATGTAGCAGCCGCAGGACCTCCAAAATTCGGAGCATCTAGGGCTCGTGGGTGCCATGTCTGACAGAATCCCTGGCTCCAACCGATACGGGTCGCACCTGTTTGATGCTTGTCTGAGCCTAGACTCCTAGACCTCAAATTCTTCCAGCCGCTCAGCAGCTCCAGGCCACTCCCCACCAAGCAGGAAGAAAGTCATTCGCCATCATTCGCCTCTCCGTGGCCGGCGTGGGCTGCCATGATCAGCGGTGTCCAGCCGTGCTCATCGGCCTTGGATGTAATGCAATACAGCTTTCCTGACAAGTCGCCGACTCGCCCCTTCGCCCCCCGGAGGCCTTGTTGGGATCTGCAGGAGCGCTAAGTGCCTTCTCGACGCCGCGCAGGTCTCCACGTCGAGAAGCCTCCTGAGGTGCCATCGGGCCGAACGCGCCGAGGAAAACCGCGGCGCAAAGTTCAGAAAAGCGCTAGACAGACTGGCGACAGCGCATCTTCCGATAGGGCAGATGTACAGTTCGAAAAAGTTCAAGACAGCTTTGGAACTTCAGAGTCTTCCGGAGCTGATATTATGTGCTTGACACATGGCCGGTTGCATCGCAACGGGGGGTTGAGGGTTTAATGAAAAAGCCCCCCCCACTTTCATCTCCCAGGAGGCCTTGGCTATCTTTCACTACAAGGGTCGGAAGGCTCAGATCTGCTCAGGCGGCATTCAACAGGTGCCATAGTAATATATAATAATGATAATAGTAATAATCATAATAATAACAATAAAATGATAATAATAATAATAATAATAATAATAATAATATGTATATGTATAAGTAGAATCTGGTGTATGCTTCTAATTTCATTCACCTGGTCACCCGGGCCCATTTTTCTCTCTCTCCAGTACTGTAGTGTTCTAAACATGACATCCGGAAGCCGCCTGTAACGCCGGGGCCACTTCGGGATGGAAGGAATCCACCACCAGTGTGAGACCTGCGGGATCTGAGGCTTTCCTTCGATTCCTAGGTGATGTCTTCTTTATAGCTGGTGGCTACGATGATTGTGTATACATATATATAGATACACTGATGATCATGCTGATAGTCCATTGCTCATGTCGTTGCTCGGACTCGTCACGTTTCCTGTGCCTGGTTTGTCTACGGCCAAACAGTGGCATCACAAGAGCAGCAGGGAAGCACCACAGCAACACACTGCGCACAAACCACAAACCCGATAGCTCGGCTCGTTCTTGGGGGTTACTACACGGAATTCCATAGGGAACCGACAAAAAATCATGGAACTCCACAGAAAAGGCTCTGCGATGCGCAGCTTGGGTCGCAACTGATGGGCTGAGGCAGCGAGGAGAGAACATCCTCAATTCCAGGGTACGCATCAAACTTCTGAACACTCGGCTCAGGTGTCCTTGTGAGGGGTAGTATAGCCTGTAGCAGAACGGCCGTATGGTACAGTTTGCACTCTCTCTGCACAAAGCCGGAATGTAAGGCCGAATCATGTAAATCGATGGAACCCTTTAGAACCCATCCATCGGCCATGGCTCGGTGGTCTGGAGGAGCGCGTGATCCAGCATTACCTCCCGGGGGTGTCTCACTAGCTCTGCTTCCCATGTGCTGCACGGTAGATTCCCGGTAGCGGAAGTGGCATCAGGTGGTAAACAGATTTTGCCGCCGCCAATAGATTCTACAGGCGTGCGAAGGCATCTTGCACTTGGAAAGCAACCCCTCTGACGGTACCCTTCTCCGTCGTGGGATGCTCACTTCGTTACGGCATCCTGACTAGCTTGTGCCACACTTTCTGCATTGAAATTAAAGGTTGTTCAGTACCCCTTGAAGGCAAATCGAACCAATGCGACGGAAACAACCAATAGGAGACCGACCCCCTGAAGCTCCTTCTGGCAGAAATATGGCGCATCGCACAGCTCGTGGAGAAGCAGCTTCCTGCAGTTTTGGAGGAAAGTACCATGTGTATACCTGCCGTCATGTTCGATTGTCTTCGTAGGTATTCGCAGCAGGTGCTTGACAATTCTTTTCATCGAGTTCGGGGTGCAAGAGCTATACTCGTGAGCTGGGCTAGGTCTAGGTGCGATGCCTTTTTTGCCCCTCCGGTTTGGGAAGTACATAGGGTGCCCGCCAGGCCAAACTCGACTCACCAACACACGTGTTCGCAACCTGCACAAAAGGAAAAAACAAATCCCCGAGATCTGAGGCCGAGAGACAGTTCATGTATTGTAGCTTCTGGAGCGACAGCCAGTTCTAGGGGCTCTCCAGTGAGACGGAGGACCCGGACCTGGTCAGCTGCTGGGTGCCAGGGCTGTGTAGGGTTTAGGGGTCTTCTTTTTTGCAGGGTTTAGGGTTTAGGGTATTTAGGGTTTAGGGTTTAATTAGGTTTTAGGGTTTAGGGTTCAGGGTGTAAGGGTTAAGGGTTTAGGGTAGCAACTGAGCGCGACCGCACTGTGAACCAGCACATCATCGGGACCAGAGTCTTTTTGTTTTGCCACCCGCATTTAGGGTTTAGGGCCTACGGGTTTAGAGTTTTTTTAAGGGTCTAGGGTTATTAGGGTCCGACATCGGTCGTACTCGACCCAAAGCCTTAGTTTAACCCCGCGAGCTTTGCCAGGAACTCGACTGCCCAACAGCCCTCCCGTCCCCAAAGCCTTACGAAAGAAAAAATAGAGGGGGCCTTGGCTATACGCAAGCTTCAGCAAGCTTCACGGGCGTTCTTCGAACCTGCAAATAGCTGCCTGGGGCTCAGCTCAGGATAAAATAATAGTATATTATACATTGGGATGTTCCCCCTTATGCTAACAGCCCTTAATGGGGATTCTAATACCCCCTGTATCTCCCTGTTAGTATTCAGGGAATATACCAAATTATAAAGTGTTCATTGGAGAGCCTGCAGGGCATCCATTGTCATCTTCGTCGCGCGGCGGGGAACATGGCATTGCTAAGCAATGGTCATTGACCTTCGACGCGTTCCCACACACGCACACGCAGAATGATCTCAAATGCGATGACTTGTTGGAGTACAGGGCTGTGTATTCCATCGCGTTACAAATTTGGTGACATGGCACCCTTGCGGAAAAACTTCCCAGGGTCAACTGGGTTTTCAGGTTCCTGCTCCATGCCAGATCTGCTGCCATAACATGCTCTTAGGGCCTAAAACTGCCGGCCCTCAGACCCAAGCACTGCCACCCCTGCCGTATGCGGGCATGCGCGCCAGCACATTAGGGTGCAGCAGTCTCCCGAACAAAACTAAGCTTACAAGACCCTGAGCTGATTTTTGGCAAATTAGTAGACAGTAGACAGTTTGAACAGCACAAGTTCCGGGGAGCAGCTACAAACGTCACGTCCCCACAACTTCATGAGCGAAGCACACCAGACTGATCTTTTGACGAAGGCGCCCACTTTGTGCAAGCCTCGCGTTTATGCAGGGCGCGAGCCGGGCCGCTTCTGCTTTTCTGCTGAAATTCTAGCTCAGATTCACCAAACCTACAATCCACCCGTGCTGCAAACTTGACTCATCCTTTTGAAAATCAGAAAGCAGCTTCTGCTTCAGCTGTCAGAGCAAGTTCCGAAAATTCTCTGAAAAAAAAAGGTTGCTGCATGCGTCCCTTCGAGACTTGCACGCATGTGCAAACAAGTTTGCTGTATCACGCTGGCCCGCACAGGAGGGGTCGGCGGGGAGGGGGGGTGCCCATGCCAACAGTCGTCCATCGACAGAACAGCAATGGCAAACCTTTCTCATGAAAGCTGTCGTCTGCCGAAGAGGGTTCAGGGTCAAGAGCGTCTGTGGAAGAAGAGGGGCACTGCTTGGATGTTGAAGCTAACAGGAGTGCCGAGAGCTTTGGGCACTCCTGTGCAAAGCCGACCATGTCAGCTGGTCTGGAAAATATCTGAGCTGAGCAACGGCATTTGGACCCCCACCGTCTCAGGACCCTTGGGAGGAATAGCTCGCGCATCTTGAAAGTGTTTGGTCGGGTTTTTGTGGGGGTGTCTTTGTCGGGACTGGGCAGCAGGATGGCTGGCTGCCACCCGTACCGGAATCAAGCCGATCTCACTGCAGAAGTTGGACCTCTCACTTCCCGCGGTTTAAATCTCCAGGCGTGTAGCGCTCGCACCTGAAGATCTGGGGGAATATTCTTTAATATATATATATATATGTATATATATATAGAGATATCTACATATATATATATATACCTACAAATCTGAGCTAGAAAAGAAGCACAAAGCTCATCCTGGATTCCCCATACGCTCATGACAGGCCAGCGAATCCCTGAGGACCCCGGCGCCGGCCGCTTACTGGAGGCCTTGGGAAGATAAGGGGGTTTCCAAAAGTTTAGGGTTTAGGGTTTAGGGGTACCCTTTTGTTGTGTTCCTTCAAAAGGATCATCGTATTTTGGAGTGTGCAAGAGGGGCTTCTCCTGAAATTAAAGTCAGAAGGGGCTGGCGCTGCGACTCTGCTTGCATCGCTAAAGTACGTGGCCATCGGCAGCAGCAATTGCTGGGATTTTGCAGGGACAGGATTTGGGTGTGAGGAATCGGGAATCCACATCTCTGAGCCCTGGATTCGCAGAGTTGTAAGATACAGGATCTCACAACGTGCACATGAATGTCCAAGGAGGGATCTCAAACATTTCCATCGCCGGGCTCATGGCGAAGAGCGACTCTGCGCCACGGCAAGACGCATGGCTCCCAAACGAGCAGCCTCCTTTCGTGCGGGATTGCAGTCAATATCATGTCAGTTGACAGGGCTGGCCAAAACCTGCCCAAACAACTGCACGTTTGTGGATGCAACCGCTCTCGTAGAGTTTTTTGCACTGGCTTTAATAAAGGTAGGGTCGATAATCACAAACTTTATTGAACATATTATAAGGTGTTAAAGACTTGAGTCCCCCGCCCCCCCCCCCCCGCCCAAAAAAAAAAAATAAAAAAATAAAATAAATAAATGTTTGGGGGCTCCGGGGCATTTCTTTCTGGAGGGTCCCAGATTTGTTTGGGGGGAGTGGGGGCTCCTACCTATTTATTGGGAAGGGGTCATTTTAGAAGGGATTGTTAGTGTGCGAACGCAAGCCGCATTGAGACACTGAGACATTCTCGACGCAGCCGCCCCCCAAAACATGGTAAAGCAAAGTAATCATTGCAGCTCCGACCTGCTCCTTTTGCGGCATCTTGCTGGTGTCCGCGAGGGTCGTGGACAGATACGGGCTGCCTTAGCCCAGCTGGAGGTGTTTCGAGCATTTTTTCAGTGTCGAAATACAGCCTCTCTTCGGATCTCCACCAAGCGCTGTGCTCACAGGAATGGCAGGCCGAAGCTGGTTGGCGGTCGGCGGTCCTGGCGGGCCTGGCTGCCCTGGTGGCGGTCCCGGCCCTGGCTGCCCTGGTGGCGGTCCCGGCTGCCCTGGTGGCGGTCCCGGCTGCCCTGGCGGCGGTCCCGGCTGCCCTGGTGGCAGTCCCGACTGCCCTGGCGGTGGTCCTGGCTGCCCTGGTGGCGGTCCTGGCTGCCCTGGCCCTGAGGGCGGTCCCGGCTGCCCTGGCGGTCCTTTCAGGCATACAAAGTTTCGTGAAGCAAACCGAAACATGGCAGACGCAGGTCTCACTAGAAGCTGCGTTCCGGAATGTGCTGGAAGTCCTCTGGCAACCCATTGAGGTGCTGCCACTGGAGCAGCGAGTTGTCGGGGCTGAGAGCCAGACCTGTAAGGTCTGACATGCGTCAGAATTCTGTCCGACTTCCCCTGGGTAACAAACGACAAAATACTCTACCGTTAAAAGGCACAGCCGAGCGTGGAGCGCACCCCTGCTACTCTTTGCAGAAATTTCTTTAAGCTGCACGTGCGCAAAAGGCACACTGGTAGCTTTGGAAGCTCACATAGCCGACCTATGATTTTGAATGCCCTTCAAGACTCTACCCACCACAATTGCGCTGTGCATCAGTTGGTGAGATTTCGCACTGTGCAGTCTTTCGGTTAAGTTTCTGGTTGCTCGATTACCTCGACGCCGGGCTCTCTGTCGCGCACGTTGCTTTGCTCGGGCCCGCATTTACCCAGGACCAGGCCCAAGGAAGAATGACCCAAATACTCTAAACCGAAACCCAGCTTTTCTAGAAAAGTATTGTGATACACTAATTCATGAAGGGCTGAGAGCTCGCCTGAGGCAGACCCGCTGCGGGCTGATGGTCCTCACCGCCAAGGGAGGCCCTGCCAGACACTCGTTCAGCGAGGTTTGGGAAGACTTGCCGCTGGGCTACGCCCGCGCCTTGCAGCGCCACTGGCCGAGGAACCTGCCAGCATTTTGGGGAATGCCGAGCCATTGCCAGGGGAGCTAAGTGCACATGCCACAATCCATCCTGGGCCTGGTATGCAGTGTTGGGTCGCCTCAGCCAAGCACAATGCCGAAGTGCATGGGGCGGTTGAGCTAAGTTACGGGCACATCTTTTGTTGGGGATGACATGGCGGCCCACGCGTGCATAAAATTTCCCTCGGTGTGGATGTGGGTCCCGTGGCGCGGGTCAGCTGGGTTTGAAGGCATGTCTTTAGCCTTTTTAAGGTTGCGGCTTGGGGTTTTTGGCATTCGGGTTTCGAGGTCTTTAAGCTCAAGGCCTATAATATACCCATATTATGGGTTGAAAGGTCATGGCTTTGACATGACCCCGGCGCCAAACCCGTGATGAAAGAGGCGCGTGCGGGCGCCCCCCCCCCCCCCCCTTCTTCCTCGATTTGCCGCGGCATGGGCGGCAGCCCGCCCATGGGCGAAGCCCCTGAAAAATATTACAGAGTAAAGGCAATAACAGAAATCGGAGCCGTGGCATGCCCCACCACTGCTATCGAAGTGGCCGAGCCGGATCCGGGTTCATTCCTGCGGGCGGAAAGGCTTGCTGTGCTTTTTTCCTCCCCCCCTGTCCCTCGCCCAATCACCGCCCGGACGGCAAAGTGACGCCCCGCCTGGCAAAGGAAACACGAGCGATCCGCGCGGTGACATCATCGCCTGTGTCGGGACATTCGGGACAGAGCTGCGGATTCATCCAAGGTCATGTCTGTTCGTTGTGATGGTACAGCCTAATTATGCTGGTTCAGCTTCAGGCCAACACCCGAACCATGGGGCGCGGTACAAAGAATTGATCACACGTGCAAAGTGCCACAAACACAGTACTAGCAAGTGCTCTTTGACACGGGCGTTGCAAGTATTGAACAATCAATCGAACCACCCTTGAGATGCTGAGTACCGGTGGTCCTGAGCTGGTGAAGTTGCAAGTCGAGGAGACGCTTCCTTGATTCCAACGCGTTGTCACGTTTGCAGGGGGAGGGGGGGGGGGTTGAAACTTGTCATGTTTGCTTGTTGCGCAATGCTGGCTTGAGAGTTCCTCTCTCTCTTGGCGCACTTCTACTTAGAGAGTGTGGAAAATCCCGGTATCCGAACCCCAAGCACTTCAGCACGTCAGAGTCTCGGTTAAACACAAACAAAGCTGCATAGAGAAGATTTTAACGTCTTTGGCAGTTGAATGCCGCCGGGCAGCCCAAGGATTGCTGACCGGGCTTGGCCCCGCAGTCAACTCCTCCTCCAGGTTCGAGAAGTTTTGGGCTGAACTCTGTTCAGGCATTGGCATTTTCTCCCTTTTTCTAACAGTCCTCAGTTGGGATTATAGTACCCCCCCCCCCCCCCCCGCACTATAGTCTTTATAGTACATTGCGACATACCGTATTATGCTGTCAGCTTGCTCATCGAAAGGGTTCGCCTTGTACACGGGTTTTTTTGCGCTTGGCGGAAAGGCCCCATCACCAGCCTGTACTTCAACAGTAGAGGTCGTGGTGGGAGTGTTGTCCTTCAGATCCTGAGAGAACAAGCAGGTCAAACTTCGTGACGTTTCTAGATGAGGCTTCTGGCAAAACAAAAAACACTCCCCCCTCCTGCCCCACCGCTCATGCTTCGGAGTTGTTTCCTGGTTTTGTAGCAGCTCTCAGGATCTCAGCTACAAGAAAGAAACCAAAGCCCGCCAAGTTACCTAAGTGTCTGGTAACTCGCCTGGAAATGCTTATTTGGCAGTCAAGGATCCGCTGGGCCCTTGTTCTTTGCGAGCATGTCTTCCTCCGATGCCTCTGTGGCATCGATCCCTAAACTACCAAAAATTGGTTCTAAACTCTACAATGCCTTCCAGCATTGAATGATGCACTGATACAGAGACATGTTTGCCGACAGATGGCCCGGCATGAAAACAACATGCTGCCAAGAATCTATGGAATCGTTCAAGTCTGGTGTCTGGGTGTTCTTCTCGGACTCGCACGGGGCCTCAAGCAGGCTTCGGGCCTTCCAACCCCCTCTGGCCATGAAGTGCAGGTCTAAATTCGCCTAGGGCCCTCCCAGGCGCTTCTCTGAGTCTCGCGACTTGTGCCCACTCAGGCAAACATCAGCAGAACTCATTTGTCACGTTGAAAGACCCAAGCCTATCCAAACCGCATAGGCCTAACTTGCATGAGGTTTGCCAACATCTTGCTGCTCAAGACTCCTCGCAATAGCTGGCAACGCGCGCAGGAGTTCCATCATCAACCTGTACCAGCATCGGCCAACATCAAAAACACTTGTTTAACGTTCTATGACCCCTGAGACGAAGGCCAGAAGCCTCAACTGAGCTGCAAGCCTGAAAGTCATTCCGTGCAGCTTTCAAAATCCGTCGGAAGGATTCACGATGATTTATGGCGCCGTGTACTGGTCTGCCAAGGACACGATGGAGCTACTGGTGCAGCTTTCGCTGATCCAAAGTCCGAGTCCAACCAGAAAGCTCATCGTAGCTGTTTGTGCTTTTTGTGTTTGGTGAGGGACTTGATGTGCTGTCGCTTCGTCAAAAAGCGCATGTGTGTGGATGTAGGCCAATGCGGGTGATCATGTCTAAAACAAGAAACATGCGTTTACTTTACTTTGGCACATCCTGCATCATGTCATGTTTTGCAACATTTATGTAACATAACATGCCAATTCCCCCCCCCCCCCCACCCACCCTCCACAAACAAGCTATCCGCCGTTTGGAAGGAACTGCACCTGTGAGACCAGACAGCACCTTGAAGCAGTCCCCAAGACGTTGCCTGCAGTTGCGTGCTGGCCAGCGATTGAGCTTCCTCCTCCAGGATCGACCTTGACTCGCTCGCGTTCAGTGGAGACCTGGAAGGGTGCAAAGCAGAGTTTCGGGTTTGCGGCGATGGGAAGCCGCTTCTGGCGGTCTATGCGAGATCGCTGTCCAACGTAGACTGGATGGCACGCTACGCTGGTACTGCATGCTCGACATGTTCATGCTGAATTCTCCGCAAGCGTTGCTGCCACCTGCAATGATATTTCCGAATCCTGTTGCGTGCCTACTGTACGCCCTTGCAGCCTCTGCAAGATGGATCGCATGGACGTTGGAGAGACAGCGTCCTGCATGGCTGCGCATTCGCAAGCACCGCCCGCTCTCACATTGGGCAGAGCAATGCAGCAAGGCACCCGGTTTTTCTCAGCGTCGTACCCAAGCCTTTGAGCAAGTCCGGGCTCTAAGTGGCTCCAATGTGGCTCCAGGCGAATTGCAATCGGTCTATTGCGATCTGCGGAAATTCCGAGATCAAGACCGTGCCCAAGCTTCACTGGGAAGAACTATACCCTCCTCCCCGAAACCCACGGTCAGGTCAGCTGTTAAGGTGTCCTCGATCTCTCCCGAGCCGTGCGACACAAAGACTCCCTACTTGCTACCGGCAGAGCTTCCATGCGGCGACGGACTCCCGCACTCAGCTAATCTGGTTTACTTTGAGGGGCATGGCATTGGTGGTCTTCTTGTCCGAGCCCATCTGCACACGCCTGAAATTGGTGCAGCAGATGTCATCCCCAACAATTTCCAACTTGCCGCCCACCAGCGCTGCGGGCCGGGGTAGGTGTCGCAGAAGCGCTTGTAGGTGGCCACCACCTCCTCCCTGGGTCTTCATGTTCTCCGGCTTAGGGCTGGTGTCTTGACATCCGTGTCATACTTCTGCTCTGCATCTTTCCGGGGCTCCAGAACTCCGAAGATGTTAGGATCTTGCCTTCATGGCCCACCTGGCTGATCGCTCCCAGGAGAAGCTTGATGCCCTCTTCCGGATCGCTCTAGGTCTCTCCGAGCCCAGTTGCCAGTTTCATGGCTTCAGCAGACGTCTTGCATTAACACCACCTTGTAAACATCAGAGGCTTGCACCTAGGACAGTGTTCGCTCCGAACGCCTGTTCTGAGTGTGCCATCCAGGTCGATCATGATACTATCATGATGGTTTCGATGGCCTGCTGATCAGTTGGGTCCTTTCCGACGAGGTCAGGTGCAATCTTCGGCTTCACGTGTACGCTGCCTTGGAGACGCCTTTGCCCCTGCTCGCGAAGCTCACAGGCCTCATTCTCGCCAGTGGAGGCTGCGCTGGGCACAGCAGCGCGAAAGGGGTGATCACCACCTGAACAGTTGGGTGGCCCAGGGACTCGAAGATCTAGTGCGCACGCACCTTCTGGATCGACATGGGCACCGCGATTGACTGTGCAACGCAAAGGAAAGTCAGATAGATGTAAGCCCGAATGCTTGAGCCACCACAATGTAATTCGAGAAGGTGTAAGGCCAAGCGCAGTGGAGACTTCATGCCTTCCTCCTCAAGTCTTGCATGACCCTGCCTCCAAATCCGAGCTCAAGTCGATGCTGACCGAGACCGCGCCGCCCCTGAAGCTCATCGCGACT